TAGTTGTTTCCGATATTTGGTTTACATCCCTTAGTTGAGGCCTGGGAGATGGTCCCATCCTAGTTGTTGATTTCAATTAAAATGGTGATGGAGGATTCAAGAGTGAGAAGAAAGTCATTGGTAACCAGGGGCTAAAGAAGAGAAGGACACAAGCAGAACACCCTACAAATTGGCTTTCCTATATCATGGTCAGCCCAGGATCTGATCACATTGGAAGTCACATACTTGCTTCATAATCCTGTCTGAAGCCTGCCTGCTAAGTGAGGTCTGACCTTAGCGTGAAGGAAGGGAAATGTGGATGGATGTTCTGGTCAGAACACTTGAGATGATTGTTTGTTCTTAAAGAAGGTCGAGGTTTGGCTCATATAAAAGGAATTCAGATAAAAGGAAGATTTATAATAAGTTTAACTGGTTGATGTAAGATACTGATTAAGTATCTTTCCTCAGAAATAAATGAGATGTCTCCTTTTTGAAAAAAGTTACTGGAGTTACAAAGTGAATTGTAGTCAGGCTTAATTTCTCAGGTGAGTCTCCTAGGTGCAGAGGAGGGGCAGGAAATGAAAGTGGAGGAGACAGTGAAAAATCTGAGTGTTTTGAGAGACAGAGGAGGGCATGAGGCCTGGAGGCATTCCACACTATTCTTTTTAGTCTCTTGGAGAGAACAAAAGGATGCTGGACACACATTCTTGAGGTTTGAATGTGCCCTTACATAAAGATTAATACCTGCTTACTGCCTGAAATCTCAGAAGGGGGAAGGGTCACTGGAACACCCCATGTCTGGGAGCTTTGAGAGCTGCAGAGTCATATTTAAAATGAAGAAAATGGGGTCAATCTTCTCCCAGGTCCTTGAGGCCTCAGGGACAACTGAAAGCCCCAGGGTTACTATGATATAGAAGGGGGAAGAGCTGGAGATCCAGGAACCTCAGAGTGATGCCGCCCTATGTCCCTCTGCCCTTTGGCACAGGTGTCCCTCGGTAGTTACCAGAGCACATGCAAAACCCCAGCTGCTGGTCATAGACGCTAATGGCTGGAAGGCATAAAAAGCCTGATTTTAAACTAATTCACCTTGCAACAGTAACCACAAAGTGGAAAGCACTCACCTGTCCAGCAAATGAATGGACAAGTAAACTTGGTATCTCCATGTAATGGAAACACTATTCAGTGTTCAAAAGGAATGAAGCGCTGTTAGATACAGTGAAGGAACCTTGAAAACATAAATGAAAAAATAAGCCAAATTCAAAAGACCACATTATTATAATAACATTATATTCCATTTTAATGAACTGTTCATAAAAGACAAATATTGCATTTTAATGAAATGTTCATAAAAGATAATCCATAAAGACAGAGAATAAGTAGTTGCCAAGGACTGAGAGTATGAGGGGGGAAGATGGGATAACTTGGAAACAGTATGGGGCTTCATGTGTGGTGATGAACATGTTTTAAAATTGTAGTAAAAAAATAAAATTGTAGTGATGTATATATAACTCTATGCATATATCACAAACTATTGAATGGTCAAGGGGCAAGGGTGAACTGTAGGGCATACGAGCTCTTCCTCAAAAAGACAGAAGACAAACGACTGGACTGTCTTTTTAATGACTTGAAAATTATGAAACTAGACAGCTATGATGAATGCCATTACCAGACAGGCTAAGAGATTTGCCAGAATTAATGTTGGCGTCTGTTATTAATATCCTAGAACATTTCCATGAACTGGGTTCCCTCATTCAAATCAGAGACATAGACTGGGAGAGGGCAGAATTGTCAGAACAAGACAGCAGTGGTACCAACTGTGTTCCCGGCTTGATTCTCGTGGTTGCTGTGTATCTCTGCTTCTCTCTGCACCTCATCTCTTCCCCTCTCACTGCTCATTTTCTCATTCTTTCTTCCACTCTGAACCTCTTTTGTCTTCCTTGGTGCTTTTGTTTTCTGAGCAAAAGAAAGCAGCAGCTGCCTCAACATGGTACAGTCCCATTATATATTCTAGTGATATTCTGACCCTTTATCTCAGACTAGTCACCTCTGTCTTGAGAATTGGGCTGGCTGACCCTGCCTCCTGAAGCCAGTCACATTCTATGTCATGAATTAACCAATGCAGTGACTGTTCTTTGGCCCACTGAGCTGTGAGAAAAAGTAGATCATAAACAGTGAAACAGGCTTCCAAGGTGACTCTGTGAACAGAGTTAGGAGGTAGGAAATCTCTCTCAGAAAAAGGACAGGTATGGGCCCTCCCTGGTGGCGCAGCGGGTTGAAGCACTGCACTGAGAAGCTAGAGCCACTTCCACTGAGTTCTATTCCCACCTGCCCCGGATGTGACCACGTGGCGTGGCAGACCTCTCCTGACCCGCCCGCTGCTCCCCTCAGCAGTGTACTTCGTCTATCTGCCTGTTCTGCTCCCCACTCTGTCTCTGGTGAAGCCTCTCACCACCCCTGAGCCTCTGGTCTGTACCCCAGCTCTGTATGTACAAATAAATAAATCTTAAAAAAAAAAAAAAAAAAGGACAGGTACTCTAAATCTGGCTAACAGAGCTAGTAAGTTATTGGGGGGGCTGGGAAGGTAGAAACTCTGTTAAGAGTTGAGGACATGGATAATGGACCTGAATTGAAATTCTATAGTTCAGATATTCATAAAGGTCTTTGCCATTTGAGCAGCCTCCCTGCTTAAAGTCCTGGTCAGGCCCTGTCCCTTCACCCCCAATCCAAAGTAAAAGAAAGTTTTGTATCTTCTCAGGGCACAGTGATTCACCTCTTCTCTAGAAATTTACCCAGATATGAAATTGGTTCCTGTCAGCCATATCTGTACCATGTTACCTTACTTTTCCAAGCTAGTGGGCATATGACATTAAGCCTGTTAGACTCCAATTCCTAGGCATTTGAACTGAGTCTAAGGAATAGCAAGTTAATTGCTAAGTGAAAGTAGTCACAGAATAGAAGAGTAGAAGCTGGTGTATGTAGTAGGGAGGGCATAAGTTATTATCAATCATGTACCTGGAGAGACTTTTAACACAGAAACTGAAGAAAGAAGCAAATGAGAAGACAAACTTGACTAGATTCTCTCGGTCTCTGCTGCCATCTTGGTTGTGGTCCCAGCCTCAGTTCTGGCTAGATACCTGTGTAGAATTATGGTTTTTGCTCAGGTGTGTCCCTGTTACTTCAGACAGTTTAATAACACAAAGGAGCAGAGTTGTTTGAGATTCACCTATAACTGCATTTTGACTTGGGGAAGACCTAATTTTAGAGTAGTTGTGGGGAGAGAGCCACAAGGTAAGCCTAAGTAGCTAAACAATCTACATGTATCCCCAATTTTTTTTCTAGGTCTTGGCTTATTTCTGGGAGGCCAGAGAGAGGCAAGGCTGTTGGATCCAGACTTCTAGGTCTGCTGTGAGATGAACCTGGCATGTTTGCAGAAACTCAGGACTGAAGGATCCCCAGAGCCTATCATTTTTCCTAGGGACTACCTGCCCTGTTCTGATGAGGACAACAACATGCTCCCAGGACTAAACCAGAGGAGAGAATTCATCATCTGAATGACATTCTTCAGCCTTAACACCTGGTAAAGCAGAGACAGTCCTTGCACCAAGTGGAGGAGCATCTGAATTCAAATTTAGCTAAAGAAACTGGAAGGTTCACATTGACGCTTTAGTTTCAGGGGAGGTAAATAACAGTGTTTTAGGGTGAGAGAAGTTGTTCCCAAACCTATCTACTGCAAAGATCCCCTGGGGAACATCAGAAATTTAGAAATACCTGAGCACTATATTAATTTAAAATCCCCATCCCAGGGTGTCTAGAAATCTGTGTTCTTCAAAATTAATCAGGTAGCTATAAATGAACTAGTCTACCCTAATTTGGAGCTCAGCACTAGGGAATCCCTAGATTCAACTGGTCACAGAAATATTTAGGAAGAGAAGTTAGTAAAAGGGAGAAAAGGAAAGTGAGAACCCAAAGACAAACTGTGGCTATGTCAACACGTGATTCACATCTGTGTGCTTCTTCAAATTTCTTTCACATGTTAAGGTTCAGTAGCTGAGGAAGAAAAGTATTGTGGGAAAATAGACTGTCTAGACAGCTGTGAATATGGCTTTGCAGCAACTCAAGTTATGTAAACTAGTTGTTTGGCTGTTGTTGAGAGGGTAGATATTTGCCCAGGGTTTCTGAACACTTTCCTGGGCTCGCAGGTAATTTTTCATGTCTGAAAAGGGACTCCATGGCAGAAATTACTGACCCCTTTGCAGGTTACCAGTGTCCTGCAATTCTTTGAATATCTGACTTTTCTAGGAAGTCAGATAAGGGAAGTTCAATAGGCTGAAAAATGTCACTTTACTTTTGAGGAACCTTTCAACGCTTTTTGTACCAGGGTATTTCTTCACTCTAGTCAGACTTGGGGAAGATTTTTCCAAGTCCCAAGCTTTGCTCATTACCTGGGTAGTAATCCTGAGCATTTTCTTTAGCTGTGATATGATCACAAACATAAAGCTGTGATATGATCGACAAGCATAAGAGGTGGCCATAAAACTCAGAGAAAATGAAAGATGAATAGAGGATGGGAAGGACACAGATGCAGGCTGGATCTCAGCAAGGCTGGGCTAGTTTGAACGGGCTCATTTCAAAAGTGAAGGAAGCAGAGAAAATTCCCACACCTTCACCCTGAACCAGAAGTCAACCACTCTCCACACTTCACCATTCTTGAATGGAATGTTCCATCACACAGGCATGGTTTTGGAGAGGAGTGACCAGGAGGGATTGGGAGAATGTGCAGTTCACTCTTCCTAACTGAAAAGGAGCTAATATTCACAGAGATCTAAATCTTGCCAGGAAAGTGATTTCAATATATCAATCCATTTACCTCTCACAACAATCTTGAGGTAGGTACTAGGTACTCTAGGTCTTATTTTATACATGGGAAACTGAGGAACAGAAAGGGTAGACAAAGGTCACATTTCCAGTAAAAGGGAGAAAGATTTAACTCCATAATCTTGTTCTGAAGCTCCTTTACTTACTATTGTTTGGTTCAATTCTTTATTATTATCATGGTTATCTGTAGTTCTTTCTTCAAGGTTATCTGTAATTCTTTCTTCAACCAAACACTTCTGAAATGGGAAAAAAAAAACTTGTAAAATTTATAAAGTCATGTAAATCAGGGTAACTTAGAAAAGCTAATGGGAATTGTTCACTCTGTGACCCAAGTGAATCCTCGTAAGAGTGATCAAAAACTGATTAATAAAAGAGGGTTGGATGGAGCCCTTTCTTGCCTGGGGGTAGGAAAGAGAAGAACATCTTTATGGGAAAAACTATGGTACTTCTAGCTGGGAGAGATGTAATATTGTCTGGCAGTGACAAGCCTTGCATTAAAAATAGGAGGCATATGGGTATCTTTGCATTCATTCTTCGTCAACTCTTGTTCCTTTACTTTTCCATCTCTCTCCTAACCCTTTTTCAAAGGCTGCAACTGTTTTTTATACACACACACACACACTCACACTACTAGTCTCGCTTACAAGTATGCACTCACAAGTGTACTCTATATATACATGCATATATATTTCACACATACACAATTTGTCTCAACCAATTGTCAGTATTTTTTAAATGTTATTAAGTAATCAGCTCTGATAAACACTTTACTCCATGAATTTTATGTCCAAGAAAACAGGAAAATAGTTGGGTCAAATAAAGTACCTAAAACTGCCAGATGCCCAGTCAGAAGACCTGAGTGAGACCTGATATGATATTAAGAATGAAGACAGAGATGCTTGGGGAAAAAAAGAGTGGATGGTCAGTAAGCCATCATGCAGTATATTAGAAGGAAGGCAACTAGGATGGATGGGAATGCTGACCTGAAGAGGTCATGGATACCACAGCCAGCATGTACACTTTCTGTCCATACCTTCATTAGGCAGTCAATACCCCTTGTCCCCAGCAGATTGTTTTTCTCTTATTATTTTTTTCCAATTATGTTTATAATGGTAAAACTAGTTTACATGGTGTATTTAACTTAGAGGTTATAGGTTCAAACCCCTTCAAATGTGTATTTTCATACCATTTCTGCCTCCAAATCCCCAGTAATTCTCCACCATGATCCATTGGGTTCCTTCCTTTCCCCACTATTAGCTTTCCTGCTTTCCTCCCCTTCTCAGTTTTGCAGTCTCAGTTTGCAGTCAGATGTCAAGGGTTTGTTATTGATTTGTATTTGTCTAAACCTTTGTTTGTTTCTCTGTATTCCATTTACAAGTGAAAGCATCTGGTATTTGTCTTTCTCCTTTTGATCTATGTCCATTAACCATTTTCCCTCCAGTTTCATTTATGTTGTTGCAAATGGTGAGTTCATTTTTTTTTTATAGCCAAGTAGCTTTCTGTTGTGTATATACATTGCATCTGTCTGATCTACTACTCAAGCATACAGGAAAGAGGATTGTTTCCTCTAGCTTATTTCCATAACTTGAGCTCTCAGCAGAAGATTTAAAGACTAATCATTGTGCTTGACTTAATAATAGCTCACTTGCAAAAGACAAAGTCTTTTTTATGTCTTATGTGTGTATGTGCACGCGCGCACATCTGTATGTTGTTATTCATTTCCAGTAACTTCTTAAAGTTCAAACCACAGCAACCTCATAACTATCCTGATTTTGAGGAAGTAGTCTCCTGTCTTACTTCACACTTTCCATGTTCACTCCTTGGCTCCCCAATATTAACTCTCTATTCTTAACCAGCAAACTCCATGCCTCTAGGACTGCCCACAGAAATAGCCTTTTCATAATCCAGGAAAAATATCATAGAAACTTCTTTTTGAGCATCATCTTTTATACATTTATAAATTATTTTAGCAGCAATTTTTTTTTCTGGATCCACTTTCTCTAAAAGCTCCAACTTCTTTATAATTAGTCTACTAGAAATACCAGAAAAAAATATTTCTTCATCCTAGATAATATAGTGAAATCATTTTTAGAACAAAGAAGGCCCTATATCCTAATATTCTAGGACTAGCCAGATATACAGAAAAGATTGAGGTTTTTTTTTTCCAGAGTCTCTAACCTACAACAAAAGAGCACCAATGAAAAGTGGGTTAAGGAAAGCAAAGTAAATAAGAATAATACTCAAACCAGTCTTCTCTTTGGACATTCCTTGTCAGAATGTATAGACTTGCTGTGGTTGAGCTACTATTAGCATATGATACTTCTTACCTACCTATTCTCCTTTCCTCCATTCTCTTTAAATGTTCCCTCTATACTATGGGCTATCTCATAACACAAGATGTATACTTACTCCCTTACTTTAAACATTCAATAACTTCCTACTGCATTTAGAATGAAATCGGTACTCTTTAACTGGGTCCTCTGGGTTCTGCATGATGTTGGATTTGGCAATGATTTCTTAGGTATCAGGCAAACAAATGAAAATGTGGACAGATTAGACTTCATGGAAATTTTTAGAAATTATGCATCAAAAGACAATGTCAACATAATAAAAAGCAACCTAGAGAATGGAAGAAAATACTTACAAATCCTATATGTTTATGAATGCCAAATGTGGTATACGTATACAATGGAATATTTTTCCATTGTCTTACAAAGGAAGGGCATTCTGGCCCATGCTACAACATGGATGAGTCTAGAGAATATTGTCTAAATAAAGTAGGCAGTCACAAAAGAGAAATACTGTATGATTCCATTTATGGAGTATTTCAAGTAAGTAGTCAATATCATAGAGACAGAAAGTAGAATGATGGTTGCTAAAAGCAAGGAGAAGGAGTGGGGAGTTATTGTTTAATTGTTATAGAAACTAGACTTTATAAGATGAAAAGAGTTATGGAATGGATAGTGGTGATGCTTGTACAATACTACACTGTGAAGCACTTGATAGCACTTAACCACATAAATTGTTTAAACTATATAAAAATGGTTAAAATGGTAACTTTTATGTGTTTTTTTACAATAAAAAAGAAAAAGCCTCATTAAAAATTACAAATTATATGAATGGGGTATATCTGCAGGTCAGAGTGGAAAGCACAACTTTGATTTACCAAGATACCATTTGTATGATGGGGAAATAAAACCCAATTATTTATCTTAGTTAATCTAGAAAATCCATGTACCACAGATTGGAAAAGTTTAGAAAACACAGTTCTAGATGATCTTTGTATTTGTATCTATTAATGATCTAATTAAAGTAATAAATTTTCAAAGAGTTTTTCTGCCCTCATACATTTTTGATGTGTTGGATATGAATCCCAAACTCTGCCATATTTTCTACATTTGAGTTACCTTGTTATCTTTGTGGTTCTAATTAGGATGGTTTTATACCAGTTTAGGGTCCAATGGAGTAAGGGGCTCTTTTGAGGCAAAGATTGTGAAAGTGTTGCCCACGGGCTAAATATGTCTACAGTCTGTTTTCATAAATAGTTTCATGCTCACTTGTTTATGAATATATATGATTACTTTTACCTTATAGTGGCAGAGTTGAATACTTACAACAGGGATCCCATGATCCACATGGCCTGAAATATTATCTGGTTCTTTACAGAAAAATATTTGCCCACTGCTATCTATAATAAGGAACTGGGGAAAGAGTCTAAAGTGATAGGCTGGTGTCTGAGTGTGGGATCTTGAATGGGGAAGTGAACATATTCAGCTTTCACCCTTCAGAGGTGAATAAACAACTACTTTGACCAAGAAAGTGGTGACAGAAAAGTGTTTGAACTTGGAGTATAATGACTTCATTATCAATGCTGAAGAAATATTGGGGGCAAAAAACAAAACCATTGGGGGAATATGATAGAGGTAGCTATAGTTATTCAAAGTGAAGGTTGGGGTCCAGAGCAAATACTGTTGGCTACTTAGCACTCAAAACCCGATCTTCCATGGAAGCAAAGCTCTTGTTCTTTCCTCAGATAGCCCCAGGAAAGATGTCCTCATCCCTGGCTCCTAGGCAAATCCACAACTGCCTGTGGAGGGATGGGCAGGCATGTGATCTGGCTCTGGTCAATAGGACATGAGTGTAGTCTTCTGGGTGTGTGATCTTACTATAAGCTTGACTACAGGATCAACCACAAGGGGGTGGGATGAAGAGAATGGCAGAGAAACAGAGACAGAGCCATTCTACCTATATATTTCTTGCTGCATGAAATAATGCTCTTCCTTATGTTTAAATCAATATGAACCTCCTACTATAAAGGCCAAGAGAGAACAGTAACAATGAGCTGACAAAGAAAGAATTGGAATAAGAACTCCATGAAAGGGTATTAGGTCAGTATTGAAGTTGAACCATGGATAGATGGAATTCCTATGCAGGGAAATATATATGGACAAAAAGACTACTTCTAGAATTGACCAACCCAGGCAATTATCAATATATGATTCTGCTCCAATGGTAGAAACTTTGAAACTTAATATGGTTTAAATCATTTAATCAGGGAAGTAGAGTTTAAGAATATATACTGATGATATCACTTACATGTGGAATATAGAAAAAAAGAAAGGACCAGATAAAGCCAAACTGAAAATGTAACCCTAAAAACTGACTGGAATGGGGGCAGCCAGATTGGGAAGGGAAGGAAGAAAAGGAGTGAGAAACAAGAAGGGACTACAAGGGTTTATGGTAGTGAACTATGGGCACTTTGGTGGTAGGTGCAACACTATGACAACAGTGCCTGAAGGGGTGATTATACAATTCTACTATGGAAGTGATGTAAACCAATATTAACTCAATAAAAGAATATTAAGATAAAAAGAATATAGATTCTCAATTCAAATTATATTTGAACCCTGGGGCCATAACTTATTAGCTGTATGCTTTTGGCCATTTCTTCATTTGTTGAGAGGTGATTAAAACAATACTTTCCTCATAGATTTTTTAGGAAGAGGAAATTAATATAACATTGTTGAGCATATAGTGAATACTCCAAATATTAATGCTATTTATTAAATATTTTCCATTTAGTAAAATTTTCCCACTAGGAACCCAATATGCAATCCCAAATGCAACCAATTTCAACAGTTTATTATGCAACCTTACAACATGTATTTTCTGCATAGGTAGGCAAATATGTATCAATAACTTTTTCCTTTCGAAAATGCAAAATTTCTATCTGGAA